CAGAATGAGAGGAAAAAATTCTCAATACACATATCTGACAAGGAACTCAGAATATATAAACAACTCAAAAATAAAATGACAACCCAATTTTTTAAATGGGCAAAAAACCTTCAAGAGACACTTTATAAAGGAAGATACTGAATAGTTTAAAAGCACATGAAAAGATGCTCAATATATAACATTAGTCAAAAGGGACATGCAAATTAGAACCATAATGAGATACTACTTCATTTCTACTAGAACTAGGCTAAAATTTTTAAAAGTAATAATACCAAGAATTGGCAAGATTGTGGAGCAACTGGGATTCTCACAGATTGCTGATGGGAGTATAAAATGGTATAACCACTATGGAGAACAGTTTGGCAATTCCACTTCTAGGTATTTACCTAAGAGAAATGAAAACATGTTCACCAAAAGAATTGATAGGAGCTTTTTTAAATAAATGTCTCAAACTGGAAACTTCAAACTTCTATCGAACTATGATATGACAAAAACTTGTGGTATATCCACACAATGGATATGTTCACCAATAAAAAGGGAACAAATTACACACACAACACAGATAAATCTCAAAAATAGTACGCTTGGCAAAAGCTAGCCGCAAACGGCAGTGATTTCCTTTGTGTACATTTCTAGAACAAGAAAAACTAATCAATAATGACAGTAGATCAGTGGTTGCCAAGGGCTAGGGGTTGTGGGATACTGACTGCAAAGAGGCACAAACAACTTTGTGGGGCAATGGAAATGTTGTAAATTTTGATAGGGGTGTAGATTACGTGAGTATCTAGAGTTGTCAAAATTCAACAAACTATACACTTAAGATCTTCACATTTCACTTAAATAAGTCATACCTCAATAAAAAAAGCCAATAGATACAGTCATATATGCATAAAAGCACATATATATATGTGCCAAAATATTAGTAGTAGCAGAATTACAGGTATTTTTTCCTATGGTTATTTGTACTTTTAAGATTTTTCTTTAATAAACAAGCATTACTTATATTAAAAAAATGAAGCTCTCAAAGAAGGCTTTGTTTAAAAGGTGATATTTGATCACAGACCTAAAGGAGATGAGGAGGCCAGCTACATGGATATATGGGAGAAGAACCTTCTAGGAAGAGAAGCCTTGAGGCTTTGAGAAGTAACAGGCTCTGACCTGTATTTTAACAGGCTCACTCTGGCTGGAGTGTTTAGAATAGACAGGGGACTAGTCAGAGGGCTACTACGACAATCCAGGTGAGAAATCATAGAGGCCTGGACCAGGAGGAAGGAACACAGTGAAGTTAGAGACAGTCAAATTATGAATATATTTTAAAGCAAAGCTAACTTTTGCAATTAGATTGGATGTGAGGTATAGGAGAAAAAAAGATGCCAAGGATGACTTCCAGAGGTTTGGCCTCAGCAACTAGAATAGAGTATCCATTTCCTCATACACAGAAGACTATGAGATGAGGTAGGTTTTTGGCGGGGAGAGGAGAAATCAGGTTTGTTTAGGACATACTAAGTTTGAGTAAAATTGGAGATATAAAGTTGGTGGTCATTGGCAAGTAGAGGTATTTATAGCCACAGGGCTGGGTGAGCTCACCAAGGGAATGGACACGTAGAGAAGAGCAGGTCCAAAGAAAAGGCTCTAAAGCATTCAAGTGGCAGGAGGTCAGCAAGCTCTTAGGATAAACTAGAACTGAAGGTCAGTAATGCCCTCAAGTATACTGTGAAACCAGTCTTAGAAACTTGGAATGACTTCAAAAACTAAAATCAAAAAAGTCTTTCTATTTTTGCTTAAATAAGCACTCTGAAGTTACCAGTGACTCTGTAAGATGAAATCGACACCAGATTGATCACAATCTGAACACGGAAACTATGCACATTCACATTATTCCAACCCTGTATTTCTATAATCCCACGGCTCAAGCTTCTCCATCTTTGAGACATTTGAGAATAAAAGTATAAGGACATATTCAGAATAGTTTCCCTCAAGTGGCAAAGGACTATTTACTAAGGAAGAACTATCTTTGTGCCCTCGAACAAGACTCATCAGTCATTAGATGACACTCAAAACTCGTGAGGTAATGATGTACTACACAGCTGTCTGATCTTCAGATGACACTGCGGGGGCTGATGATAAACCACAGGTCTGACAACTCACTTTCCATTTTAAGATATTTCTTGAACTTTTTCTTGTTGTGACAGAAAACCAAATTGATTAAACCTAGCCCTGGGATTTGACACTACAGCCAGTAGATTTCTATTTGTTGATTGCTATTGATTTTCTTTGATACTTTATTTAAAAATCAATACTTGGAAAGAAAAATAGGCTTGGTTTACACATACTTAAACATACCGCTGTATGCTGGAGGAGTCACAAGTTTGGCAGGGCTTTGGCATCCAATTATAAGAAGAGCTCTTAACAGGTGAAAGCAAGGGCTTTAGATCGATACGCAGTTTTCCTTCTCAATCAAGAAAAGTGGCTATAAATTAGGCTCATCAGTGTTATTTCCAGGGCTTTCTTGTAGCAAACAACTTTGAACTTTTTTTTTTTTTTTTTTTTGGTCTTCCTTGGATTTACATTAAAAGATACATCATTAAGAGTTTTTCTTTTGTTTTGTTTTTAAGGATATTGGAGGTACCTGGAGTTCATCCGGGCTTTTATCTTTTTGGCTTTTCTTTTATTTTTTTGCCGCTCTTCTCCATCTTTCGAAGGCTCTGGTGGAGCTGCACTTTCAACCACAATATCGATAATATACTTCTTCAAGGACAGATGCTCCTTCAAGATAAATAAATAAAATAATAATAAATATGATGACTTAAAAATAATGTAGGTTTGCTACAGACTGCAGTGAGTATAAAAGATGATGAAACTAAAAGCAATTTCTATGAAACACTGGTGTCCACAACTGCTTTGGAAAACGCTGTGGAGCAGCTGTTTCACTTGAGATTTGCATTCGCATCACATCACTGACTTCATTTCACTGCACATCAACTATGCTAAATGCTATGGATACAAGGACATAATCCCTGGTAAAATACATACACAAAACTATAACACCAAGTAATTAGTCAGTGAGAAATTTAGAGTACTATGGGAGCTCAAAAGGGAAAACAAGATCACTGTTCTCTGTGGGTGAGGAGGGAAGACTTCAAGAAGGAAGTACCATGTCCGCTACCCCTTCAACAATAGACAGAATTTGAACATATGGATACTGGGTATAGTGTGTGTGTGTTTGTGCTGTGAGTGGGGTAGGGGTACAGGAAAGAAAAAGAAAGTTATCTCAGAAAAAACATCCCAGAGATAAAAAAAAAAAAGTGGAATATGGCTACTAGCAACAGAGGTTTGGTTTGGCTAGAGCACATAGAGTTTGGCCCCACTTGCCTCCTTACCCATCTTAGATTTTATGACCTATCACTATAATCACTCTGTTGCATGCACCCATCTCCCTTGCCCCTCTGTTCCTTCATAGTTGCATGGCACAATTCCAATCCTAAATCCAACTCGCTCCCTATTCTGTACTTGTATCTGGAGCAGATTAATGTGGCTATAATTATAAACCACGTTGCCTACTCCCACTTTAAATTTACAACATTACACCTCAAGTGGACTCTATTATTGCCAGGTAGTTGAGTGACTCTACAGTAGTTAATCCACATATTCACCTTCCTAGAAATTATTTTAGACCATCTCCTAAAATCTCCAAGACCCCTTTTTCCCCCACCCCCATCTCTCAGTTCATGACCATGCTTTTATTTCACTGAGGAAAACAGCATCATTCAAAGAGAATTTCCATACACTCACACAGCCAAATTTACCAACCAATCTGCAACTGTGCCCATAACTCTCTTCCCTCCTGTTGTAATAAATGATCACTCATGTTTATACATAGGGCCAAGTCCTCCAAATGTACGCTGGATCCCCTTTTTTCTCCCCCATTTATATAGTTATTTCTTCTCTTTTCTGCATTATCAATTTTTCCCTTTCTTCTTAAATCACTTAACTCCTTTCTACTTAAACCATCTCCAAAGAATCCTTGTTTGTATGTCCCCCTCCAGCCACTGCCCTCCTGTACCAAAATTTATTGAAAGAAAATATATCTTCTCTGTCTCTACTTCTTTAACTTTCATTCTCTCTTGAACTCATTCTAGCCCAGTTTTTGCCCAGACCACCCTTACCACTCTACAAACTGTCCCTGTCAAGGTCACCAACACCAGTGGCCAACTGTCAGTTTTTATCTGTTTCTTGCAACCTTAGTCCTATAGATCACTTCCTCCTTCCTGAGACTTTTTCTTCACTAGAATTCCAGACATCACATCGTCCTCCTAATCCACTGGCTGCTCCTTCTAAGTCTTGCTGGATCCTTTTCTTCTTCTTGACCTCCAAATGTCAGAGCACCCCAGAGCTATCCTCATAACTTTCTTCTACTCTATCCAAACTCACTCATTAACATGCAGTAACTGAAAATATTATTTATACACAGACAATTCTCAAATTTTTATCTACAGGCCTAACCTCTACTCATCTACATAAAAATGTCTCCTTAAAATCTCCACTTAGGTAGCGCATTTCCACAATTAGTATTTCCAAAATAACATATTCATAACAAAATTCTTATGCTCCCAATATGCATAAAGTTGCTCTTCCCAGATTGTTCTCTGTTACAGTAAATAGTACCATCATTTGCATAATTGCTTATATCTAATACATCAAAAATTCTATTACTTCTCTTTTCAAATATATCCCAAATTCATCCCAAACTCAATCACTTCTCACTACCATCATCACCTAGTCTAAGTCACTATCAGCTCTCATTTCTGTTACTGCAACAGCCTCTCAATTGGTCTTCCAGTTTATAATTTGACCCCAAGGTCATTTCTCTATAAAAGCTGCTAGTTATTTTTCAAAACATAAATCAAATCACATCATTTCTCTTATCAAAACTTGCCCTTCTCACCATAGTTAGGGTAAAATCCAAAGGCCTTCCATGGCCTTCAGAGCCCTACATCATTGATCTCTCTGACCTCATCTATTACTACTCTCCCTTTTCTTAACTAAAAGTATGCCACAATGGTCCTCTTGTTGTTCCTCACATTCATCAGAAAAACTGCCTGAGAACTCTGTATGTGTTGCTCCCCTAGGCAAGAATATTCTCCTGTATATTTGCAAGATTTCAGTCAAAATGAACCTCCACCTTAAATAACAGCCTCTATTATTTGTTATCTCATTGTTCATTTTTATTCACGGGACTTGCCTAACACCATATATTCATTTGCAGCTTCCTTCACCAGAATGTAAGTCTCACAAGGGTAATGACTTTGTTTTTTTCCACTGGTGTTTCTGTGTCTAGAACTGTGTGTGCCATGTGACAAGTACTCAATAAGCATGTGTTGGATGAATGAATGAAAAGGAGGTAATGTAATAGTAGCTAATAACAGTATTTATGAGGGCTTATTATGAAACATACAATGAGCTAAGTACTTTATATAAAACCACTTATTTTGTCCTCAGAACTATACTTAGAACATACTTAGAAGGTATGTATTTTTATTATCCCCATCTTAACTATGAGAAAAATGGAGTCAAATAACTTGTCCAAAGTTAGAAGGTTGAAATCAAGACTGAGTGACTTTACAGACAGTAATGTGACACAGCCCAAATTTAAACCCAGACAGTACAGAGAGTCTACACTCTTGACTACTACCTTAGACATGTGACTAGAAATGGGTGGCTATAGAATTGTGCTCACTTTTCAAATCGTCAGCCTACCAAAGGGGGGGAAAAAAACCCACAGCCAAAGGAAAAAAAAATCTTCTCATCTCTCACAAGTAGAAGCTTTTCTTTTCTTTGATAAACTAGGCTGGTTGTACACTATACAAGGGGAAAGGTGGGGAGTAGACTTGTGTACTTACATTAATGTTAACTTTTAAATATCTCAAAACTAAAAACAAGAATATTTTTGTTTGACTTAATAGTAACTTTTTTCTTAATACAAAATCAATACATGTTAATTATAGAAAATATAGATAAAATTAAGACTAAAATCTCCTATAATTCTAACGCCTAGAAAAAAATTACTAATATTTTGTTGTACACTCTTTCAGACATTTTTCCTTTGCATGTATACTTTTATTAAAATGAATTATAGCATTTACAATATTTCATAACCTGTTTTTTAATTTACTATTATAAATATATATTCCTGCCATTAAATAATATTCTATAACATAAGCTAGTGGATGTAAGGTATTCTATTTCATGAATACACCTAGTTTTACTAATGCGTTATTGTTAAACATCTGGATAATTTTTTCAATATAATAAATAACAGTGCAACAAATACTCCTATAGTTACACTTTTAAACACAAAGTCAATTATTCCCTTACGATCAAATCATAGAAGTGAAAAGCCTGGGTCACAGATTATACATACTTTAAGGCTTTTGATAAATATTCTCAAATTGAACAACCATAATGGGAATTAATTTATTGTCCCCAGAAGTGGTCAACAGTACCTAGTATTCCTGTTTTGTTTGTAAATCTGTCAATTTGTTAACTGAAAAACTAATATCAGTATGTTTGGCCATTTGTTTATATTTTGTTTTCTGTGACTCACAATGTATCTTTTGTCCAGCTTTCTATAAACACATTTCAAGTTTTTATATATTTGCTTCTAATGGTTTATATTATGCTTTTGCTTTTTCTAAGACAGAGATCACCTTGTGATGATAAAAGAGATATGTGGATGGGTGTGACAGGATAATTAATAGTCACACTTCCATTAAAAGTGTAAAGGCTTTATATAGGAAGAAGGTTTTGACATGGTTTCTAAAGATGGAAAGCATGTAAAAAGAAGGTTTTCAACATTGAAGGAGTAGTTGAGTAAATTATGTTATATTTCTATGAGGAAGTATTAGTCATTAAAATCCTTACAAAAGAGGATTCTGAGAGGATGGTGGTAGCAGAGTTTTAGTCTCTCTCTAAATCCCCATATAAAAACATAAAGAGCAATTAAGATAGGAAAGCAAAACCTATGGAAAATATTTACAACAAAATTAGGTGACAAGATATTCTTATAATTCCCAAATACAAGTGAATGTGGACAAACTACCATTAGATCCGTGTCTTTGCAGGAGAAAGCAGAGGGAAACAACAGGGTAAATGATGAATATAAGAACAAAAGAAACCTAAGAAAGGAACAGTTATCCACTGGAGAGTTCAACAGGCCAATTTGAGAACAGTATCTAAAAATGAGAGGAGTTCTGACCACTTCAATAGTAGGTGAGTGAATGGCGCCTTCATTAAGGCCTAACTAAACAGGCTAATGGAAGGCAGTCCAGATAACTCTGGAAACTGAGCCATCAGTGCTTCCTTCCAGGACAGGGAAACTGCTCACAGTTTTCTTCCTCACAGAAGAAACTGCTGGAATAGGAATTTAAATTATGCAAACTAGGGAAAATAGAGACAAAGGGAAAAAATGCCTACATAAAAGCAGAACAGGGAAACAGAACCAGAAAATTTCAGAAATCCACTGTATTTTTCACAAAACAATATAATTGGGATCTCTATGAAGTTAGAATAACTACTGCAAATCACATCTCTTTCTAAAAGTTTCATAAGACTAATTCCATGTAAAAAATAAA